TCAACAACAGGTGTGTTCGGAGAACCGGAATAGCGAGCTCAAAGTTAGCGCGATGATTTGATCTTGGATGTGTCATTTGATCTTGGATGTAGTAAGCGAAGTACGAAGAACGGATCCCTGTACTTCACCCACAGCGACTGTAGCATCAACCACAACCACAGCTGACCCAACAACAACAACAGCACTACCAACCACAACTGACCCAACCATAATAACAGGTGCTTCAACCACAACAACAGCTGCTTCAACCACAACAACAGCTGCTTCAACCACAACAACAGTGGCACCAACCACAACAACTGCTGCTTCAACCACAACAACTGCTGCTCCAACAACGAACACAGCTGCTCCAACCACAACCACAGGAGCTCCAACTACGACAACTGCACTGACAACAACAACAACAGCTGTACGAACTACAACCACGACTGAACCAACCACAACAACACATGCTTCAACCACAACAACAGTGACACCAACCATAACAACAGCTGCTCCAACCACAACAACAGCTGCTCCAACCACAACAACTGCTGCTCCATCTACAACAACAGCTGCTCCAACAACAACAGCAGTGGCACCAACTAAAACCACTGTGGCACCAAACACAACATCAGCTGCCCCAGCCATGACTACAGCTGGCCCAACTTCAACTGCTGTGGCACCAGCCGCATCAACAGCTTCACCAACTACAGCAACAGTGACATCAACCACAACAACTGCTGCTCCAAACAGAACAACTGCTGCTCCAACCACAACAACTGCTCAGACCCCAACAGCTGCCCCAAACACAACCACTGCCACACCATCAACAACAACAGCTGAACCGACTACAGTTGCTACACCAACCACCTCCGCACCAACCACGACCACTGCTGCACCAACCAGCACAACTGTTGAGCCAACCACCACAACTGCTGCAGCAATCACTAATACTGCTGAACCGACCACAACAACAATTGCAACAACCACCACAACAGCTGCCCCAACCAAAACAACAGCTGCACTAACCACCACGACCTTTGCTGCACCAACCATAACCAGTGTTGCATCGCCCACAACCACGGCAGTACCAACCACCACAACTTCTGCACCAACCACGACAACAGCTGCACGAACAACCACATCAGCTGCCCCCTAACCACAACAACAGCTGCACTTACCACCACAACCTCTGCTGCACCAACCATGACCAGTGCTTCATCAACCACAACCATGGCAGCACCAACCGCCACAACTTCTGCAACAACCACCACAACAGCTTCCCCAACAACCACAACAGCTGCCCCAACAAAAACAACAGATGCACTAACCGCCACGACCTCTGCTGCACCAACCATAGCCAGTGTTGCATCGCCCACAACCACAACAGCACCAACCGCCACAACTTCTGGACCAACCACCACAATTTCTGCACCAATCACCACAACTTCTGCACCAATCACGACCACTGTGGCACCAACCACCATGACTGCTGCAGCAGCTACAACCACTGCTGCACTAACCAGCACAACAGCTGCACCAACCACGACAACTGCTGCACAAACCACGACCACTGCCACATCAACAAGAACAACAGCTGCACCAGTGACCACAGTTGCTACACCAATGACAACCACTACTGCACCAACCACCACAGCAGGTGCACCAGTTCCCACAACTCTTGAGCCAACAACTACAACTGCTGCGCCAACCACCACCACTGCACTAACGACCACAGTTGCTTCACCAATAACAACTGTTTCAACCATGAAAACTACTACACCAACCACCACAACAGCTGCATCAACCACCACAACAGCTGCGCCAACCATGACCAGTGCTGCATCTACTACCACAACAGCTGCAGCACACAGCACCACAACAACCTCCCCAGATGCTACAGCAACTGCAGCATCAATCAATCACCACAACAATACTAGCACCAATCAGCACAGCAGCTGCACCAACCACCACAGCACCAACAACAACAACCACCACAACAACAGTTTCCCCAACGACAACCCCTGCTGCCCCAACCACCACAACAGCTGCGCCGACCACAACAACTGGTGAACCAACCACTACAACAATAGCTTTACCAACCACCACAACAAGTTTCTCCTACCTCAGCCACTGGTGCACCAACCACCACAACACTTGAATCAACCACAATAACAACTGTTTCAACCATGACAACTAGGGATGGGTATCGAAAACCGGTTCTTGTTGAGAACCGGTTCCCACTGTTTCAATTCCTTGGAATTGTTTGCCATTTTTGCAAACGATTCCCTTATCGATTCC